TATTCAAACCTCTATAATATTTTGTAGAAAGCAATAAATTAACCCCAACTGTTACCGAAGTCCATAGTAGCCATGTCCAGGTACATAGTTCATAGTTCTTGGAAAATCCGTGTGTGCGGCCTCTGATTAGCTGCGGGGCGACCGCCTCCCGAGAGTCGGGAAAATCGAAAAAAATCCCCCTCCTCTTGAAGAACAACTTCTCTCCCCTTCTCTTCAAGATCCATACGATCTCTTTAGGACATTCACGTCCTTTCAATCCTTGACTCTTTCCCCTCGACCGTCTTCCATCAGCGCCGGTCCGCGTCTCCCCCCGGGGTTCTCAATTTATTTGGAGATTTTTTGACTTTCAGGTGTTGGGGGATTGTTGCGCGATGGATGTTACAGCCCTCCGAGATCGCATTCAGTCTACTCTAGACGCGAATGCGGATATTCGCCGGCAAGCGGAGCTTGATTTGAAATATGTACGTGCTGTATCGACTGGCGGGGCACCGAACGTCAGGCTCACACGTGGTTGATATATCTAGGCCGAGACGCAACCCGGATTTATCAATGGACTCTTGGATATCTTGCAGGGCGAGCAGAACAATGCAGTCCAGCTCTCTGGTAGGTTTCTGGGTGTCCATATTGGTTCGCGGAGGAATTTCTGTCCCTTACTGACCCCGCTCTTTCTTATAGCTGGTGTTTACCTGAAGAACCGTATTACCCGTGGATGGGCCCCCGTCGAAGATAGCCCACAGCGTACGCCAATTCCTGAAGCCGAGAAGCCCAGTTTCAGGGAGAGACTTATCCCTGCCCTGGCCTCGACGCCTCCCAATGTCCGCAATCAACTGGTTCCCCTTCTCCAGAAGATTCTCCAAAACGACTTCCCCGAGCAGTGGCCCGGATTCTTGGATCTCACTCTGCAGCTCCTCGGCACCAATGACGCCAGTACGGTCTATGCGGGTCTGCAGTGTCTTTTGGCAGTCTGCCGGGTCTACAGGTTTAAGGCCGGCGAGAAGAGAGAGGAGTTCGATAAAATCGTGGAGCATTCATTCCCCCAGCTGCTCAGCATCGGATCCAAGCTTGTTGATGAGGAAAGTCTGGAGGCTGCGGAGATGCTCCGTATTGTGGTGAAGGCTTTCAAGCACGCAATTTACGTTGGTTACCCTGATTCTAGTCTGCGCGTGGCTATGCCATTTATACTGACTTGTTGCGGATTTAGTTCGAGCTTTCTCCATGCCTACAAACCCACCAGGCAACTGTGGACTGGTGCACACTATTCCTACGCATTGTCTCGAAGACACCCCCTGCGAGCTCAATGGCAGATTCGAAGGAGGAGAGAGAGATGAACCACTGGTGGAAGTGCAAGAAGTGGTCATACGCCAACCTGAATCGCCTGTTTATCAGATATGGCAACCCCACCACGATCACGAAATCCTCTACCCCCGACTACACACCGTATGCGAAGACCTTCATCAGTACTTTCGCCCCCGAAATTCTCAAGGGATACCTGACGGAGATTGACAAATGGGTGTCCAAGACTCAATGGCTCAGCAACTCCGCACTTTCATATACTTTGGTCTTTATGGAGGAGTGTGTCAAGCCAAAGGCCATGTGGGACCACTTGAAGCCACACATGGACAACCTGATCGCCCACTTCGTTTTCCCTATCTTGTGCCAGTCCGACGAGGACATTGAGCTTTTCGAAGATGACCCATCTGAGTATCTCCACCGCAAGTTGAACTTCTATGAGGAAGTGTCCGCTCCTGATGTTGCCGCCACAAACTTCCTGGTTTCCCTCACCAAGAACCGCAAGAAGCAGACCTTCTCGATTCTCACATTCGTGAACAGTGTTGTTAGCAAGTATGAGTCTGAGCCGGAGGAGCAGAAGCAGCCCAGGGAGAAGGAAGGCGCTTTGAGAATGATTGGCTCGCTTGCTTCCGTCATCCTGGGCAAGAAGAGCCCGATTGCTGACCAGGTCGAATACTTCTTCGTCCGTCATGTTTTCCCCGAATTCCGCAGTCCCCACGGCTTCCTCCGTGCTCGTGCTTGCGACACCCTGGAGAAGTTCGAGCAGCTCGACTTCAAGGACCCGAACAACCTCATGGTTATCTACCGAAACATCCTCGAGTCCATGACCGATTCCGAACTTCCCGTGCGAGTTGAGGCCGCCCTTGCTTTGCAGCCCCTTATCCGCCACGATGTCATCCGTACATCGATGCAGCAGAACATCCCCCAGATTATGCAGCAGCTTCTCAAGTTGGCCAATGAGGTCGATGTGGATGCTCTGGCCAACGTCATGGAAGACTTTGTTGAGGTCTTCTCTGCCGAGCTTACTCCCTTCGCTGTGGCGCTAAGCGAGCAGCTCCGCGATACTTACATGCGTATTGTTGGTGAGCTCCTGGAGCGCAACGCCTCCAAGGGTGGTGACGAAGATGGCTACGGCGATTTCTTGGACGACAAGAGCATCACCGCTCTGGGCGTGTTGCAGACCATCGGCACCCTCATTCTCACCCTCGAGAGCACCCCTGACGTGCTTTTGCACCTTGAGACCATCCTGATGCCCGTCATCAGCATCACCTTGGAGAACAAGCTCTATGGTAAGTTTTTTTTAATCTATTAAGCATATGTCCGGCTCTAACTGGTTATTTTAGATCTCTACAACGAAATTTTCGAGATCATTGACAGCTGCACATTCGCATCCAAGACCATTTCCCCGTCCATGTGGCAAGCTTTCGAGCTGATTCACAAGACGTTCAAGGCTGGCGCTGAGCTGTATCTCGAAGGTAAGTGGTTCACATCAATTCACGCGGTTTGGAATTTCTATTAACTTTTTTTTGCGTGCAGACATGCTCCCCGCCCTTGACAACTATGTTGCTTATGGCTCTGATATGCTGGTTCAGAACCCAGCTTACTTGGACGCTATGGTCGGTATGGTGCAGGACATCTTTTCTGACGACAAGGTTGGTGGAGTTGACCGCATCTGCGGGTGCAAGCTTGCTGAGACCCTGATGCTCAACCTTCGGGGTCACATTGACCAGTATATCCCCATGTTCATTGAGATGGCTATGCGGGTTATCGACGCCGGCGAGGCACGCACCAAGTCGTACCGCATCCACTTGATGGAGATGGTCATCAACGCCATCTACTACAACTCAGCTCTCAGTCTTCAGGTTATGGAGGCCAAGGGCTGGACCAACAAGTTCTTCAGCACTTGGTTCGCTAACATCGACAACTTCAGACGTGTGCACGACAAGAAGCTGTCTATTGCCGCAATCAGCTCACTGCTTACTCTGAAGGCTACCGATGTTCCGGTCAGTGTCCAGCAGGGATGGCCCAGACTACTGCAGGGTGTGACAAGACTCTTCCAGACCCTGCCTGCTGCTCTCAAGCGTACGTTTCCCCAAATCTCCTGTCGTGTTCCCCCGAGGCTAAAAATTTATTCAGAACGTGAGGATGCTACCAAGGAGTCCGACTTCACCCTCGATGACGAGGACGACGAGGACGACGAGGACAATGACTGGGATGGAGATGTTGAGTGGGACGAAAACGAGGTTGAAGCAGCTCTTGAGGAAGACGACGTCCCCGACGAGAGTGCCGCTTACCTCGACTTCCTCAACCAGGAGGCTCAAAAGTTCGGCGCCTACGCCGATGATGACGATGATGATATGGACGAGGAAAGCCTTCTGGAGACCCCTCTGGACAAGGTGGAGCCATATGGCATGTTCAAGCATGTCCTGCTGAGTAAGTGACCTCTACAAGAGTATCCCATGCACACATCACCCGCTAACCTCAATTCCAGGCCTTCAGCAAGAACAGCCCCAGCTCTACGAGAGTCTGACCAAGGTTCTCGGCCCCGAAGAGCAGCAGGTCATTCAAGGCGTCTTCCACGAAGCCGACGCCAAGGCCATGGTCGCCGCTGCCAACGCAGAAGCCGCCGCCGCAGCGGGCATGCAGGCCAACGGCAACTAAGAGACTATAACCGAGATGGATTGAGAAACCAAACAAAAAGCTTCGAATTTCCAATGCCTCGGACGTCTAGTCTCTATTTCTTTCCCCTTTTCCACATTTTCCTCACGAGACCATATGCCCATTTCATGTCTTTCCCGCTTATTTAGATCATGTCCCATCTGCTCTGTACCTCCGTGTTTCTTTCGTCATGTCTTTTTCATGCCATGCTCTCGCTGATGTACTCTTAAAAGTCCTACCCGTGGACATTCTGATCGAGGGTATTCCCCCTCTTCCCCCTTCTAATCCTCTTCGATGCACAGATTCCCCTGAAGACACCCTTGTTTCCTCATGATATAGTACATCAGCCATCTACGAATGTTGGATTCCAGTTCTGGAATATGTAGTACCGTAGATACCAGCCACATAGGTGGACTCGGAATTGAATCCGCATTGTTTCAAGAACATTTCAAGATTACTCATGTAGGTATCTACAAGGACACCCAGCAAGCCACTCAAAACTGACCTCCCAGAAAAGGAGCAAAAGGCCTGTCATTCTAAGGACAGCGTAGCTTGGTAGGTATCTCTCTTGCTGTATCCTTATGCCTAGGAGTGTGCCATAAGCAATTTCACGTTTGCTAGATCCTCTGAATAGCTCTCCTTTCTCTTTCCCCCCTTTTTTCCTTTCCCCTCGCTTCCACCTCGCTGTCATCTCACTGTTTCTTTCCTCACTCATTTTGTCTTTAATTCCATCGTTATCTCGTTCTCGCCACCTATTACGCAAGACTATAAATACCCTTCCGATCAGATCACATTCTCCATCTTCTCTCTAGCGGATTGTGACCGTGGTTGCATTGTTAAACACAATGGAGCGCGATAATCCCACCCGGTTCTTTCTTTCCCTTCTGCTCTAACATGGCAGGGATCAGAGCTGCTGACGCTAAGGGCGGCCGTCACCCTTTGCGATATGGACAAGTCGGGCCAAATAATGCTAGGAAAAGGCACATAACCTCGAGGCTCATATCTTGTCCACGTGAACTGCACTATATCAACACTGTCTCTATTACCTCAGGATGGCGCCTCGAGCTCAGATTGATGGTCTACTTCGTGTTCTCTCTCGCAAACTCTTCGAGTCTATCCACGGGGTTTTCCTTTTCAGAAAGCACTTGTTCGGTGTGTCCAAATTGTCGATTCCTCCAACAAGATGGCCACATATTTTGATCTTCGGGGCAACATCCTTGAGCCCTTTGGGCCGGTTTGTTGCCGTGGGATGGCCCGGTGATCGAGGCAACCTTTTGACCCTCGTGCGAGCTCCGAAGGCCCCTGAGTGTTGAAGCTCACTGGCCAGATGCATTCATACCAGCCCATTATCTGTCAAACCATATGGATGAACCCCAAACTCACCACCCTCGAGCTGGAGATGGCGGTTGGATTGGATATCAAGATGCCGGTTGGTTCAAGTGGATGGAGGACTATCAAGAAGGGATGGGTGATGAACATCAAGTCGTGTCTCCCCCGTTTACTAGCGACTTGTACCGAGGAAAGCTATCTACGAAGGGCTCAGCACTCAACAGGACTTGGGGAAGGAATAGGATCAAGTGATGAAGCCCACCGTATCAAGCTCAAGCAGCAAATGGAGGATGACACGCAATGTGTTGCAACTGAATTAACGGACCTGGCTGATCGGTACACCGAGCCGACGCTCCATTACCTCCAGCGCGCTTTCAACTACTGAGCCGTCAAGTTGGCGTGATGACAAAACTGTGTCATCCAACCCAGAATCAGGCACAAGCTGTACAATTTTCGCTTCGCGAAGATGCTATGTTGAAGCGAGACACCACTGTGGCACTTCCATTGGTGGTATCTGAGGCCAACTTCGCCGGCTTCGGTTTGAGGGTCTCCCCGGGCTCTTTTCTACAGATGATAGCCCGATCACACCAAAGAAACCCACTTCTATTGCTACAAGTGAAGTTCATTCAGCCAGGCAAAAGCGCCCTCGTTCTGATGAAACTGCGACATATGTTTTTGTTATCAGAAGAAGCAATACAGCCAAATACAACATATTCAATCGATAAAAGTGTATATCCTAGATAGGGTAGGGATTGGCTAGAAGTGTAAGAACTACCAGGAAGAAGATGTGAAGTCAAAACAAACATGACAAATGACGTCATATGCCTCAGAGGCGAGCATCAGATCCCGACGTCGGCGCGGCTCACTTTTGCAGTCAACTTGAAGATCCGCATGTATTTATGTTATAAAAAAAGGCAATGGATAATTGACCATATGCGCTAGCTAGCCATGAGATAAAGAATGGTGGTTAAAAGAACTCATAGTTGTAACGCAAAGAAGTTGAGGAAATAGTCCAGTACAGATGCGCCTAGAGTCAGGGCCAACGGCTATACAGCCTGATAGTACAACTAGCAATGAAGATTATTGTACAGTCCGGTCACAAGGGTCCATCGTATGTCATTATTGTAGTTAAAAGGTTGCAATATCATGCTAAGTTGGTAGTTGTATGGAAGTAGAATGGAGACAGGCCATGTTCCTGTTCCAAGTGCCACTCCACACGTCATCATGATGAGCCCCAATGACCGGTTTAGCTGGTAACGTCAGATGATTTCCCCCAGAGTAGAATAAAAAGAGTACTTGTTCCTTCTTGGATTTTACTGTTCAAACACAAATACTCTACCTCTACATCATCCATCACTAAGGCTACCTCAATTGAAGGTCAGTAGTATCAAGATCACCATATCCTCTCATGCTTCATTTTCCCTCTTCAATTAAGAAACTCACACTTATCCCCCTTTAGCACATCAAATCCAATTCTACAATATCCACAACAATGTCTGCTCCCTTACCCGGCCGCCAATCCCCCTCTCCGGAGCGCCAAACCGGCGCCCAGCAGCAGGATACCCCCGGCACCGGCAAGACCGACGTCGGCAAACACTCAGTACCCGAGACCTCGCGGCGATCGTCAGAGGACTTTAGGGACAATGTGCTGACGAGCAACCCCGAACACCCGCTAGAGAAGATTGAGGCGGATAAGTACATCAAGGGAAAACAACATTGAGATGGATATTTCTTGCATGTACTTGAAAGGGTCTTGTTTTTGAATTTTGGATAATGATATCATGAAGAATAAGCTCAAATAACTATCTTCCTTTTGAGTTATGTGTACTTAGTAAAACAATACATTGAATCACCGGAGTGGAATCACTCTTTTATGTCCATTTGCTTGGCTTATTGGGAGACCCCTAACTATCAAAGGCTCGCTTGTAGCAAGAGCCCGAAAATCAGGTTATCACACAGGCAGAAAGAAAAATCAAAAAACTATGGACATGGCATCATAAAAAGGAAAAGAATAAAGCAATAGACACAAAGGAAACACGCCCAACGCAAATATTCATCTCCACATTAAGTTAAGACCTCATTCAAAGGTTTCCTTACACCTTCTCAGAGGGCGCAGCAGCAGCCTCGGGCTGAGAAGGAGCAGCAACGGGCTCAGCAGCAGTAGTAGGGGCAGGGGCAGCATCATCCTCCGCCTCACCACCCTTACCCTGCTTCAGATCTGCGAGACGACGAGCCTCGGCGTGAATATCGCGCACCTGCTTATCGGTCTGAACATAAAAGTCACGCAGCTTCTGGCCGGAGGGGTGCTCCAAAGCCTTCTCGAAGTACGAGCTCAGGCCGCGCCAGCCAGTGGCCGCCTTACTGGAGATCTGGTAGCTATCATCGATACCCTTAGCGCGCTCGGTGGCATTGTACTTCTTATCGAAGTTTGCGAGGGCCGACGTGAAGCGGTTCGAGACTCCGTGCTTCTGGTCCAGCGCGATCGCCTTCATGATCGCATTGTCGCTCACAACGTACCCGTGTGCCAAGTACTCTGCGACGATGCGCGATCGGGGCTTGTCTTCTTGTGCGATGTGGTTCTCTTCTTCCTTGGTCTCGCCGCCTGCGCCGGTGGCTTGGGCTCCGGCTAGGTCTTCGATGTTGTGGGCTGATTCGACTTGCACGGCAGAAGTGCCTAGTTGGGTCTGGTCTAGGAGGAGGGCAGTTTTCGCAGCGCTGTTTTTGGGGATTGGGTTAGTGTGAGGTTTCATGTGGGCTGATTGCGGGCTGCGGGAAATGAAGTTGAAACTGGGTGCGGGGTAGCTTACGCCTCCTTTTCAAAGGTCACAGTGGCGGACTTTGGAGCGTCGGCTTCCCCAGAGACTGGGGTGATGGAGAGGGTGACAATCTTTCCACTGTTTAAGTTAGCATGTTGTCAAGTAGTAAAGTGTTAATCGCGACAATGTACCAGAAGCTAAAGAAGTCGCGAACCTCCTTCTCGGAGGTTGTTGACGAGATGCCAGAAACGTGGACAGTGGAGTGAGACATAATTATGTTAGGTAGAGAAAAGAAGAATCTTGCAAAAGAAATCTAAACGTCACACCATTTCCCAGGTGGGATGCGACTATTTATCTAACAAGGCCAGTGCGCCACAGGTGACGTGGTGACGTATGGCGGGGCTGTTGCACCGCCTCATATAGCTAATTTCGTTTTGGTTGCTTCTGGTTTTGTTGAGTGTTTGTTTTAATTGGACTACATGATTTTCAATGGAGCTGCCTGGAAAATGAATTTCACATGTGAAAACTAGGATTTCGTTGAATATGTTTGCCTGCAAACCTCCCGAAATGAAAAATGTTGGGCACTGCCTCCATGGTGGCAATGCGAAAGAATGATATGGGTTGGAATGGAAGTTGAATCAGGCATTAATGATTCTTTCAGACGGTGTGGCAGAAGCCTCACTTGCCGAATCCTCCTTTTGTCTCTTTAGAGTCTGCTCCAGATCCCGCACGCGCCTCCTGAGCTGTTCGTTCTCCCGCTTCATGTATTCCACCTCCAACCTGTGATGTGTAGCCTCCTCAAACCGTGACAGCGAGCTTCCGGGAGAATGGCCTAGCTGTGTCTGTGACACCGAGTTCCGGTGTGGGTATATGCTGCTGTTATTGTGGGAGAACGAGGATAGGGACCCGATGGAGGGTCGGCGAGATGTGAGCGATGGCTCGCGACTGCGAACTGTTCGAGAATGGTCTGCCGGGCGATATGGTATCTCTCGTGAGGGAGCAATTCCAGTGACACTTGCAGACTGCGGGCCCTGGTTGGCTGAAGTATGTGAACTGAGACTCGAATTGGACCGGTTCCGTCGCGCGGAGTGAGACGGAGTTGAGCTGCTGAGGGTGGGTGATGCCCGTGCACCATCTGCCTCGTTAAATGTCGAAGTGGAGGATGCTGTCGATGCCACGGATGCTGTCTGCTGGCGGAGAATAGATAACTCTCGGGTCAATCGATTCACCTGCGGAGAGTTTTGATGCGTCAGCGGTTGAGGGGTAGGTATATTTTGGGGCTTTGGAATTCCACTTACCATCGCTTCTTGCTCTTTCTCAAGCACTAGATGGAGATCCGAAGGCGTCAGCGGTTGAGGATGACGCAATGGCCCTTGTTCCGTTAGTCGGGAGCTCATCAAAGTGACGCCTGCCACTGTGGACTTACCCTGAGCGGTACTTGTGATGCCATAATCCCCCGTTCCAGGTGGTGGACTTCCTGGGGGTGGGAGTACTGCAGAAGTATGAGGACCATGTACTGGTTGTCGGGGTGTTGGAGACTGCGATTCCATAGCAGGTGCCGTTGTTACTGCACGATGCCGTGCCATATTAGAGTTGGAAACAGCGCTCAAGTCGGGAGCCATGGCCATCGGGTATGTGCTAATGATATTGCTTAACAGTAAGTTTGCTTTTCCGCACCTGCAGTCGGCATGTGAGTCAAGAGGACTGAACTATAAGTGTTTCAGCCTTGGGATAAATAATCAGTAACAGTCAGATTTCCGGAATTATGAATCAAAACACCCCTTGATGCAATTCCAGGGAGATTCTTGAAACATACCAGTTATGGAGGGGGGGTCAAAGGTCTGCTCCTTTCGGGAAGGGAATTGAGGAAGGCAAGAGAGAAATCTGAGAAGTTGGGCTTCTCTCTTGCCGTGAGATGTTTTATCCTTTGTCGCTTGATTGGGCCGTGCACGTAATCTGCATCTACTGGATGTACATGTACATCGTAGCTCTGGAGATAACATGGTGACATTCCAGACTTGTTGTAGCAACATCTACAATATTTAGGTAGGATAAACCGACACACTGAAAGGACTATCTGGTAGCTGTTTCAGGACACAATTCATGAATACATATCTCCTAATCTACTTAAATTGTACAAATGAACGTAGATTGTGCAAAGTAGACATGGTGCTCAGGCCCCTTTTGAGGCATATTGGATGTCTCAATTGGAGCTATCCAGTAAATTGAGCAATAATAGACTCAATTCATCGTTGATCGGCGTCTTGAACCTGCTATAAGCCCCAAAGGAACGTCATCCTCAACATATCATAGATGCTGGACTTCCCTGCCAAACAATAGGCTCCACTTCGGCAGGTCAGGCCCTCCCGGGGCCGGGATGATCTGCATGTTACATAAGCCTGTGATCCACGAAAGAGCTGGACAAGCAACTTCGATCTCACGATATCACTGTGCATTGTGGCAGTGAAGTCTTCCCAAGACCTGTCAGGGTCTCAGCTTGTCTCTCCAGATATTTAAGCTTGCATAGCCCTCCCCCCGCCTAATGAAACCATGGCCCGACCCAGCTCCCCTGACGCTACCCACATTCCACCCATTCTGAAACCGCTCGCTCCTTACATCAAGTCGCGCCAGGAAACCCTTGAAATTCGCCAGGCACTGACGTCTTATCTGCGCTCATTTATCGAATTCGACGATCAGTCAAGCGATCATACTCAATCCCACCTCTCCCTGTGTGCGTCGACCGATGGTGTTGCCGATGTCAAACGAATCCCTACCGACCTCCCTGGGCTGAGAAAGGATTATCTGAAGGCATTGGCGGCCAATGTTGCGGCCCGCAAAGAGTTTGCCTTGGCGTCTGAAAATGTCGCCTCGTTAAGGCGCCAAAGGACGTCCCCGAACCGCCCTTCTGACGATGCTGATATGCAAGACCCCGGCACCGAGCTTCGTGAATACCTTGCCCTCCTACGCGATCGACGCCGCCATACCAAGCTACAGGTTTTTCAGAATTACCTCGAGGAAATTAAAACGCGCGATGCGGGCAGCTTGGAGGACGTTGGCAATGATGGGGAGCAAATGCTGTTGCCGGAGGTAGATACAGAGGCGGGGCGCAATGGCACTGAAACAGACTTGGATGAACTAGTGCATAGTCTCGAGAGAGCAGTTGTCCGCGCGAGAACTCAATTGGACCGCCAAAAGCAATTGTTTGAAAAAGCTAAGGCACAGCATGATCCCCGAGCCGAGACTTCAGATGCCAAAGCGCGAGCATTACAAACGACCCGGGATGAGCTAGTACAATGGGTGGAGGAACGGCTGGTTGGTCAAGGGGATCCAGATGAGAGTCTACTCCAAGAGCTTCCTCCAGAAGAAATCGAGGAGGCCCAGCGGGGGCTAGAGAATCGCAAGATACAGATTACGGAGCAATATGCTGCATATCTGCGAGCCCGGCGAGATCTCCTCGACGCCGCCTCCAGGGCTTGTCAGCCAGTTACTGTGACCCAGAAGCCTCCGTCACGATCAACCAACAAAATTGAACTTGGCATAGCAGAAATTCCACCACCCAACCCAATCGACGTTCTGTCATACGCAAACGAGAACCTGCTCCCGCTATTGAAGAGTCAAAAGTCACTGGCTCTCCAGAAATCCTATTTATCTGGCTTACTCTCGAAAGAAAAGTCCACGACCCTCCGCGCCCTCAATCGTCTAAGCGATGAATCCCACCTACTCCCTGAATACCCCACCGTCGCCCGCCAGCCGCGCTTTAAGCATGCAGCTGCTGCTCTCAACTCACGAATGCAGGCCCAGACCCCCGATCAGACCACGGATGAGGTTGTTGGTCTTGCTGAAGCATGGGCATTTGCCTCTAATGCTGCAGCTGCCAACGGACGAGACTTTGTGCAGCAAAAGATCGCATTGGGTACTGAGGTTGCGCAGGACGCCCGGCAGGCCCTGGCTGATGTATGTAAAA